ACACACACACACACACACACACACGACTCATTGCAACCCTGTAGGGCGGAATTGAGCTGCCTTGTGTCTATAAAGACACACACACGCGACTCATTGCAACCCTGTAGGGCGGAGTTGAGCTGCCCTGTATCTATAAAGAGAGAGAGAGACACACACACACACACACACACACACACACAATAAAACCCAGAGAACCATCGAGGCTGAAACGCAAAGAAGCAGGCAGAGAAGGGACAAGGAGACGGACCGAGATAGCTGCCTTTCGGGAGTTACAGAGACTCGGAGAAAGGCAGTGATAACACACAGACATTGCCAGAAAGTTCAGGGGGAAAAATGATAGGCACTTCTGGAATGGAAAGCAGAGTCGAGGTCATTCATACCTTGCGCTCAACCCAGAGCAGAGGTAGCCCCAGATAAACATCTACCTAGTGAATGAACCAGTCCTTGTCTAGACAGAGACATAGTAGAGAGATGGGGAGCGAGGCTTAGGGTGGAGAAGGGGGCTTGTGGGGTGAGGGGGAAATGTTGGAGGGCCAGCAGCTGAGAGGCACTGAGACTGAGGGGGTATGGGGGCGAGCAAACACATATGGCCAGGAAGATTCACAGAGTGAGGCTGACAAGCACAAGGTAAGTCTACAAGAAACTCGCACAGTAGGTGAAAGGGGGCAGAGCTTGCTAGAAAGAGATAAACGTCTTGCCAAATTCATTGCCGTCAAGTTGATTCTGACTCATAGCAACCCCATACGGTGGGGGTAGAATTGCTGCTATGGGTTTCCCAAGCCGTGAATCTTTCCAGGAGCAGGAAACCTCACCTTTCTCCCGACACAGGACTGGTGGACTAGGAAGGCTGACCTTACTTTACGGTTAGCAGCCCAGCTCGTAACCCACCACACCTGTGGGGCTCCTTGAAGCCCTCTCCAGGTGCCATCAAGTCAATTCCGACTCCTGATGACCCACCTGTGTGTCCAAATAGACCTGTGCTCTGTAGCATTGCTAATGGCTGTGGTCTTTCAGAAGTAGATTGCCTGGCCTTTCTTCTGACGCGCCACGGGCTGCACTTCAACCACCAGCCTTCAGTAGTCCTCAAGCACACTAACCGTTGGTGCCACCCAGATAATGTGCCCCCAAAGAGACACTGACCAACGAAGCCCAGCCGCAACGACGGAGACTACGTCACAGAGTCAAAGGACCACGGAGGAGGAGGAGGAGCAGAAAAAGGAAGCAGAGCTAAGGGGCCCCAAGCCCCTCACACAGATGGGCTTCTCTGGGCCTCAGCTGCCCTGTCTGTGAAATGGGGAGAGAGTCTGAGGTGTTAAGAGCTTTGGGTGCAGGGTCCCATAGGATTGTTATTTTGGCTTTCAGCTTCATCCTTACCTGAGCCCACTCTTCCTCTGTTTCCAGGAGTCCATTCACCTGCCTGTCCCCAGGCCCTGGGGGTGGAGGCATGGCAGGGAGAGGAAGGAATCAGGGCCCCTAATCCAGGGCTGGTCTTTGGCGCTTCAGAGGTGAGCCACAGTGAACAGACCCATCAAAGGCTGGCAAGCACTGAACTTCCCTGAAGGATGAAAGAGGGCTGGTTAGTACCATTGCTACTGCCCCAGCCAGTCCATCTGGTCACACCGAATTAAAGTTAATGTTTTTCGAGCACCTACTACATACATAAATACATTGTCCTAAGCACGTTTATGAACTCCTGATCCTAGAAATCACCCAGTGTGTTAACGCGTAAAGTCTGTTATCAATGAATTCAAGCCCAGAGAGGTGAAGTGACTTGGCCAAGGTCACAGAATTAGTTAAGTCGAGGATCCAGGATTTCAGTTGGGCTTCAAAGAGACGGCATTAGCTCTTTAAAAAAAAATTTCTTAAATCAATCATTTTTTTTGGGGGGGGTCTCACAGCTCTTATTACAATCCGTACATCAGTGGTACATAGGTTGCCATGATTATTTTCAAATCATTTTCTTTCTACTTGAGCCCTTGGTATTATTAGCTCTCTTCTCCCTCCCGCCCTCGTGGACCCCTGAAAAATGATCAACTGTTATTATTTTCCTATCTTACACTGTCCGCCAACTCCCTTCGTCCACGTTTCTGTTGTTCATGGTGGTGGGGTGGGGATGTTATACGTCGATTATTGTAGTCGGTTCCCCCTTTCTCCCCCCATCTTCCCCCTCCCCTCATGGTATCGCTACTCCCATTACTGTCCCTGAGGGGTTTATCTGCCTGGGATTCCGTGTGTCCAGAGCTCTTATCTGTACCAGTGTATATGCTCCGGTCTAGCCACCTACACTCCCCAATCGATGTTGTCCTCTCCAGAGCTCCCCCATTTTCTGTTTTTTTTTAACGACTCTCCATCCTCCCCTACCCTCACCTCAACTGAGACCTCAGGGAGCTTCCTCTGCGCACCGTGCATCTCCCCGGCACCAAACCCACTCTCGGCCAGTTGGATCTCTCTGGCTGGGAAAAGCAGCTCGCAAGTGACCAGGGCTAGGAAAGGCAGTGGGGCAGGTAAGGATGCTATAGACTACGCTGCAGCAAGAAGATCTCGGCTTCGACCTCAAGTAGGGTTTCCTAACCTGCTGCCGCGATAAAGACGCAATGCGAGATAAAGCATACTTAAGCTAAATCTGGGAACGCCGGTAGCTTAGGATCCAGAATTCCCAGGCCGGAACTATCCTTACCAGCCCCGCCTCCTCACCTCCAACCCTCGGTCCGCCGAGTCCTCCGAAGCCAGTGAGAGGTAGTCGGCGTCGGGCTAGAGCGTCACCGCGCAACGCACCATCTCTCTGGCTCCCCAAGCCTTTCCTTCCAGAAGGGAATAGAGAACAGGGCCTGGTGCGGGCCAGAAAGGCCGCCGACGTGCTTGCCCTTCCTTCCCAGACGTCGCGCTCCCTTCTCTTTGGTAGTTCTTCCGTCCTATTCCGCACTCGCCCATTTAGCCATCGTCGCACACACCACAAAGAGGCTGGAGGTGAGTGGTAGAGCGTCGCACTCGTGACGTCACCCAAGCGCCGCTCGCCGGATGCTTTCCCCGCCCACGCCGCAGCCGTTCCCTCTTTCCGGACCTGGCTGAGCAGGAGGCGCCATCATGGTGAGCGCGTCTGGCGGTGTTCGAGGCTTGGCCATCCGTCGCCATCTGCTGTGATCGCGGGTTGGGGGCCTTCCGGAGAAGGGAAGGGGTGCCAGCAGTGACCAAAGGCGGCAATTCCTGTGGCGAGGGAGGCCACCTCGGGGGTCCGGGAACCCGGAATTGGTCAGGCTCACGTCCGACTCTGGCCCCTCTCGCAACCGGTTCATTCACGCCGCCATGCCCAGCTAATCAAACCGCGAGCTTAAGTAGTAGAGTCAGGGGCCCGGGCTCGAGGCGGCAGAGCAGGTGACCCCGCAACTGCTCCGACCCATCTGTCAGTTTTCAGAGGGGAGTTCGAGGGCCGAGTTCTCGGGTTCTGGGAACCCCGTCGAGTTCTTAGCTCCTTAGCCCCTCTGGTCGGAGGAACCCTGCTCTCCGGGCCTGTGCCCCACTTAGAGCCGCCCCTTCCGATTGTCAACGTGACCTTAAAGGTGTCGCCTCAGAAAAGGCGGTGGGTGTCATGGCATCCTGTCGTTTCCTCAGCACTCACTTGGGAGTAGTGAGGTTACAGAAGCTCCCTCGTAGAACCTTCCGATTCAAGGAGGTGCTGTAGGGACGGTAATCCTAATAGAGGGGCGTTTGCCCTGTGGGTTACACGTTAGGCTGCTAACTACAGTTGGAAACCACCAGCCATTCCTCAGGGCTTTCTCCGCCCGTGGCAAATTTTTTAGCCTCAGAAACCTACAGAGTTAGTACTACCCTGCCATCAAGGGTCACTGTGGGAGTCGGATTGGACGCAGTCACATTGAGTTTGGTTTGTTTTTATTTTTTTGGTTCTTAAAGCATTTGGCATTGATGCCAGTTTCCAGGCGCTGAAGTAAAACAGTTCATTTCCACGGAGGCAGCAAAGCCCCTGTGTTCAGGGTGGAGGTGATTTGCTGTGTATAGATTTGGGTCCCCTTTCGGCGGTCACGGGGCCCCCAGTTGGCTCTTGGTGATCCAGAGTGGGGCCCATGGTTGTCCGGTGTCCCCCGCCCCCTCCAGGGAGTTGACATCCGCCACAACAAGGACCGAAAGGTTCGTCGCAAGGAACCCAAGAGCCAGGACATCTACCTGCGCCTCCTGGTCAAGGTGAGGCTGGGCCAGCCCAGGGCCGACAGCTGGAAAGGGGTTGTGGGGAGTCGATCCGGGGCTGGGGAAGCGGGGAGGCTTCTCACCCAGATTCTCATGCCTTTCCCCTTCCCCCTAGCTATACAGGTTTCTGGCCCGGAGGACCAACTCTACCTTCAACCAGGTTGTGCTGAAGAGACTGTTCATGAGCCGCACCAACCGGCCGCCCCTGTCGCTCTCTCGGATGGTGAGGGGGCCGAGGGCCATGCCCTTCAGGCTTGGAGGATGAGAGGGAGGGAACTGGCAGCCCAAGGGCTACTGAACCTGCATGGTGGGTGCTCTCCGGGGAGGGGGGCTGTCTTTCATATTCTTTTAGTGATGCTCAGGGAAAAGGACATACCAAAAACAGTTTTCCTTTCCTGGGAAAGCTGCGGTAGACCCTGGCGGGGACTTTGCCCAGGTTTCTTGAAGCCCCCTCGAGTGTCTCAGAAAGGTGCTGTTGGTAGGCTCAGCCTGTGTGTGTGTGTGGGGGGGGGGGGGGGGGGGGGAGCTTTGAATCCCAGAAGGGGGCTCATCTTTTTATCCAGTGCATCTTTGCTGTCCACCCCCTACCCCCAGATCCGGAAGATGAAGCTTCCTGGCCGAGAAAACAAGACAGCCGTGGTTGTGGGGACCATAACGGATGATGTGCGGGTGCAAGAGGTGCCCAAGCTGAAGGTGAACGGGGCAGGGCTCTGCTGGGTGGCATTGTAGTCTGATCCCTGGTGACCCAGACTCTGGGATCTCCCGGGGAGGGGCAGCATCAGTCACTGGGCCTTGCTATCAAGCCAGGTGACCTCGGCTCACATCCAGGTCTCTGCCGTCGTGTTGGTTCCTGACGACGCCCTGGCTGTTTGTGTGCACATACTGATGTTGGCGAGGTGATACAGTGGGCCCAACATTTAAGGGGTGAGAGGGGTCCTTGGTGGCCATGGACCATGTTAGTTATTGAGCAACCTACCAGGGGTAGCAAGTGCCAGCAGCTCCCTAGGACATGGCACACGGTGGCCCCTCACCACACCTGTCTCCTGGGTTAGGTGTGCGCCCTACGAGTGAGCAGCCGGGCCCGGAGCCGCATCCTCAAGGCTGGCGGCAAGATCCTCACCTTTGACCAGCTAGCCCTGGACTCCCCCAAGGGCTGTGGCACTGTCCTGCTGTCTGGTGAGTGGAACCTAGCAGCCCATGTGGTGTCCTGAAGATGCACTCCATGGAGCTCAGGGCCAGCTCTGTATATCTGTCCCCCCTCCTTTCCAGGTCCACGCAAGGGCCGCGAGGTGTACAGGCATTTCGGCAAGGCACCAGGGACACCCCACAGTCACACCAAGTAAGTGCCACCAGGATCTGCTCCCACTGACCCGCCATTGAGACCAGGCACTGGTATCCCCTGTAGGACAGGGTGGGACTGTGCCTGTGAGTTTCCACAACTGTTAAAGCCCTGTCTTTGCCATTGGGTGTCAAACAGCACAAGGTGCTAAGCTGCCTGGGAAGGCTGGGCCACCTACCATTGAGCCATGAGCCTCTGGTCCTTAGAGGCCACGCTGCATCCTTGACTCCCAAAAAGCAACCCAAACCCATTGAGTGGGTGCTGAATCAATACTGGCCCTATGGACCCCCTGTGGAGGGGGTCTCTGGCTGTATGTGCTCTGAGGCTGGCTGTCAGTTTCACCCTCCAACTCCCTGGTGAGTTATAACCCCTGGCCTGGCTCAGTGAGGGACCTACTGGGCCACCAGGGCTCCTGGCATCTTGACTGACTCACCCCACCACTTCTCCCCGCAGACCCTATGTTCGCTCCAAGGGCCGGAAGTTCGAGAGAGCCAGAGGCCGACGTGCCAGCCGAGGCTACAAAAACTAACCCCAGATCCCGTTCTGTTATTAAAACATTTGGATGTTCACTGCATACGTGTCTTGTGTTCCTGGGGGCGGGGTTGATCCTGGGGGCTGTGGGATGCCTGTGTTGTGGGGCTGGACAGTTTGGTCTTGGGTGCCTCCAGTGGCACCCCTGGTGGCCACTCTGACAACCTGTCCTCTCTGGACAACCAACTGCATCCATACCTGCTTTCTCTCCGGTTTGGCCCCGCCCAACCATCTTAAAGAGCCAGTGCGCCCTGGCTTGGCACTGGGGGGTGGACAAGGAAGTTAGTGCCCTTGGGGCGGGGCTGGGGGGAGGGGCCTTGGGAACAGGTGAGGTGTGCTCCAGGGACCAGGAAGCCAGCCTGAGGCCAGAGACCGCATGAGGGAGCATCCGCCTGTGGTGCTGCGGTTGGGACCCTGAGGCTGTTGCTGGAACTACCCCTTCCGTGTACACAAAGGGCTGGGCTGCCGGGCCTCAGGAGAGGCCAGAGAAGACAGGACACTGAGGAGGCTAAGGTCCCTGAATTCCGTGAGCACACAGATGGGTGCCTGGGGCTGGGTGGGTAAGAAGGGAGGGCTACTGGTGATTTGCCTCACTGCAGGGCTGAGGCCTGAGGGAAGGGGCTGTGTGTGAAAGACAGGCTGTAGACCAGTTGGATGGTCAGCGGGCAGGAGATCCTGGGCTTCAGGCAGGTTCCTACCTGGGTGGGGTCAGCTTGTCCCCAGTGACTGGCAGGTTCTCCCTCCCAGCTGAATGGCCCGTGGAGGTCACAGGCCGGATCTGTAATAGTCCTGGGGCATCCCAAGGGGACTTGGGGGGCAGTGGGGGCCCCTGATCAACAGCAGGGCAGGGTGCAGGCCCCAGGGCTGAGCAAAGGCATCCAACGACAGCAGGGCTCAGCCTTTAACGGGATGCACTGATGAAGTGGTCAGGCAGCTAGACTCCTGGCAGACAGCACAACAGACACCAGGATTGTCACTCAAGCAATCTGACGGATGAGGTGGCCCGAGAGGTGTCAGCCAGCAGCAAGCAGCCCTTCCTTTCCTTAGTTGACAGTTGGAGGTGGAGGAGGATCAGATAGCCGGGCCTTCAGCTGAGAACCAGGGGTCGGGCTGACAGGTGGCACCATTGGACTTGAAACCAGGTGACCAGCCTGAACAACGGGGAGGACCTGCTGTGGAACCGTCCAGACATCGGGGGCAGGTGGCAGGAGGGCCAGCCCGTTACCCTATAGTAGTGACCTGAGACGTTTGGGGGGGAGGAGGGTACAGTGATCAGGGAGCCATTGGGACTTGGACAGGACCACCGTATGGCCACCTAGCATCTGCCCTTCAGAGAGGCCCCCTTACCCCCCCCCCCAGCCCCCCGCCCAAATGGTCAGTCACTCCCTGCCAAGCCCTTAAGGACCCAGCCTCCACTCAGCAGACCACGATGGCGGCCTCCCAGCTGGCTGCGCTGGACGACTTGGACTCCGGGCCTGGGGAGCTGCCTTTGACAGAGGCCAGCCCTGGCTATCTGTACACGGAGGGCCAGCGGCTGGCCCTGGAGACCCTGCTGAGCGAGGGCGCGGAAGCGTTCGAGAACTGCGTGCTCCAAGAGAGGCTGCGGCCCTTCCTGAGCGCCGACGAGGTCCGGGTCCTGGCAGCGTCGGCTGAGGACTGGACAACAGCCGTGCCCGAGCCTAGCGGGGCCGCTGAGGGAGCCGCTCTTACCAATGGGCTGGCCAGTGACAGCCTGACCTACTGGCCTGGCCAGTCAGAGGAGCCAGCACCCGTGCTGCGACTGGGCTGGCCAGAGGACCCAGCCTGGAAGGGCATCACCCGGGCCCAGCTGTACACCCAGCCACCTGCTGAGGGCCACCCATCGCTCAAGGAGGTGGTGCGCCGGGAACTCCAGGCTGCCAGTAAGGTGGGTCCACGCTCTCTGGAACTGGAGCCTCCCCCTTGCCCCCTCCCTCCCCAGGCTCCTGCCCTCCAGGCATCAAGGTGACCCAGTGAGGCTGCTCACCACAAGGTCAGCGGTTTCCAAAGACAAAGATAAGGCTGCCTGCTCTCCTGAAGCTTGACAGCTTCAGAAGCCCACATGGGGCCGTTCCACCCAGTCCTATGGGGTTGCTGGGAATCCCGGTGGCTTTGGGGGTGACAGTTAGGCTACTAACCTCAGGGTCAGCTTTCCAAACCACGAGCCGCTCCCCAGGAGAAAGATGAGGCTTTCTACTCCCAGAAAGAAACCCACCGGACCAGAGCACGTCCACGGGTACAGATCCGAGCTGGAAACACAGGGAATCCAGGACGGATGAACCCCTCAGGACCCATCATGAGAGTAGCGATCCCAGGAGGGTGGAGGGAAGGTGGGGGAAGAAAGGGGGAACTGATCACAAGGATCTATATATAACCCCCTCCCTGGGGGACAGACAACAGTAAAGTGGGTGAAGGGAGACATTGGACAGTGTAAGACAGGACAAAATAATAATAACGTATAAATTATCAAGGGTTCCTAAGGGAGGGGGTGAAGAGGGAGGGAAGGGAAAATTGAGCTGATGCCAAGGGCTCAAGTAGAAAGAAAATGTTTTGAGAATGATGATGGCAACAAATGTACCATGTGCTTGACACGATGGATGGATGGATGGTGAGATGGATGGATGGATGGTGATAAGAGTTGTACGAGCCTCCAATAACATGATTTTTAAAAGGAAAAAAAGAAAGAAACCCACGGGGACAGTTCTTCTCTGTCCTATAGGGTCCCTCTGAGTCAGCGTGAACTGCCGAGGAGTGAGAGTGAGGGAGTGGCTAGCTGTATGTCCATTAAAGAAATGGGGAAAAAGGCCTGTAAATCTCTCCTGTAACTTACTGTCCCCGTGATGGGAACCCAGGCTGTTGGGTGATTTGAGTCAGGGGTCAGCCAGCCAGCTACCACCAATCCCGAGTGGACTCCCAGTGCGTGTGTGTGTGTGTGTGTGTGTGTGTGTGTCCAGCTCTGCCCCACAACAGGGTTTTCTGCAGCTGGTTTTACAGAAGCAGGTCACCAGGCCTTTCTTCCGAGGTCCTCTGGCCGGACTCCTTTGGGTGAACCCGTTTGCAAGGCCCCGGGGGCCTCGTCCAACAGGACTTACAGGAGCCACCACTGCGTGAGCTCCAGGCCTCCCCCTGCTGGCTTGCACAGGACTGCCCTCCCCACCCCAGCACCCAGAGGGGCCGACCCACCACCATGGGGGCGGGGAATCAGGCACAGGCCCCTGGAGCCGCTGCCATGCTGATGGAGGCTTGACGGAGTTGCTGTTGTAACACACGGGCCAGGTGTTACTGACGTCCAGCGGTGAACGCTGGGTGTCCAGGAACATAGTTCCTGATGACCGCGTTGCCGGCTGGACTGATAACCCAGCAGAGCGCCTCAGAAGAGACGCCTGGCTGTCTTGGGCCAGGCCTTCAGACTCTCAGCACCCAGTGCATCTCACCCCCTCCCTGAGGCCCCTGCGCCCACCCAAAGTCAGGCTCCTCACATCCCTTCCTGCCCCTAGCTGGTGGCCGTCGTCATGGATGTATTCACCGACCCAGACCTGCTTTGGGACCTGGTGGACGCCGCCACACGCCGCTGGGTCCCTGTCTACCTGCTACTGGACGGCCAGCAGCTGCCCGCCTTCCTGGCTCTGGCCCGGCAGCTGAGAGTGAACCCCTGGGCCACAGAGGTAGGGGCCAGCCAGCATCCCTTCTCCTGGGGCTGGGCAGGGGCAGTGGGGGACAAGGGCACCTTCCATAGGGTCTTAGGCTGCCAACTAAGAGGGGGTCCCCAAAATCAGATGCCCAAGGCACTGCACCGGGGGAAGTGGGGTGGACTTTTGATGGCGTGCCCGGGGGGCCACAAAGTTGGGGTTACCCCCAGCAGTTGTCCCCTGAGGCCTGTTTGCCGGGACGCTGCGGAAGTTGGCAAGGGTTCTATACTGGATCCGCAGGCCACCACCCATCTGGGAGCAGCGGCCGGAGGGATGACCCTGGAGCTCTTGGCCCTGAGTGGGGGGACCCTAAGAGGTGGACCTGAGCAAGGACATGCCACCCACCCCCACCCCCGTCTAGAACCTGGACGTCCGCGTCGGGCAGGGCTGCAGTTTCCAGAGCCGCAGGAGGCGGCAGGTGAGCGGCCACATGCGAGAGAAGTTTGTGCTCCTGGACAGTGTCAGGGTCATCACAGGCTCCTACAGGTACGATGCCCTCCCACCATTCCCTCTGCCAACATCCTGCCTCCAAGCCCCGCCTCCACGTGCCGGTTTGCCCTGAGCATCCCGTTTCCCGAGGGCCTCCGCTTCCTCATCTGGAAAGTGGGTTTAGAAAACACATGGCCTTCCTCGCCTGGAGACGGGAGGTCCCTTCCGGAGGCAGAAACAGGATCGGGGCGCTGCTTCCTGATCTCAAGGGAGCCTCACCTCCCTGACATCCCATCTCCACGTCGTCACTCACCCGGAGTGTCCATACGATAGTTGCAGTGTGTGTAAGGGGCTTGGGGTGCTGGCGATTGGAGCTGGAGGATTTGCTTGTCTACCAGCAAGTTCAGGGTTGGGGAGAGAGGGGCACTCACACGGCTCACCGCCACCCTGGAGGGGACCTGGCTTTGGAAGGGAGAATCGACAGGGTCGGTAGAGGCTCCTGAACCCTCGCTGGCGTCCAGGGGAATCCGGTTCACAGTGACCCCATCTAGAGGACAGGGTAGAACCGCCCCCCTGGGAGTTTCCCGGAGGCTGTCGATCTCCGTGGGAGCGTCAGACAGCCTCGTCTTTCTGCCCCACTTCCCAGAGGAGGCATGAAAAAAAAACCAATCAACTCACCTCCCGACCTCCCCATCAACCAGTGGACTCCAGCTCAGAGTCACCTGACAGGACAGGGTAGAGCTGCCCCTGTGGGTGTCCCCGACTGTGACACCGCGTGGGAGTAGAAAACGCTGTCTTTCACCACTATTGCACTAGGGTACCGCTTTGCAGATTAGACGTGAAAACAAAAAACACCACTGCCCTCGCCCCTCAAAAAAAAACCAAAACACCCTAAAGACTTCACGACCGTACAACTGGTTCTGATTCAGAGAGGCCCTGTGGCTTCCCCAGACTGTCCCTCTACAGCAATAGGTACGTGCACCTTTCTTCTTGGGAGCGGCTGGTAGCTCCAAACTGCTGACCTGGTGGTTAGTACGGCAACCTGCTAGGCCAGCGCCCCTGGCATTGAGGCCAGGTGGGGTGTTGCTGGGTCAGCACCCACTGGAAGGCATTTAACATCAACAGGGAGACTGGCCCGCCCAACCTCTGCCGGTAACAGGATCTCCGTGGATCGACATTCCCTCCTTCGTGGGGGTGTCTTGGGTCCTGTGGGTTGAGCTGCTAATCCTAGCTCAGCAATTTGACACCATCAGCCGTTCTGCAGGCGAAAGACTGGGAAAGACAGGGCTCTCGACTCCCTCCCATAGGGAGTTACAGTCTCGGACCCCCCCTCCCAACCCGAGCCAGTTCTACTTTGGGCTGCAGGGTCGCTGAGAGTTGCCATCCGCTTAAATGACAGTGAATTTGGTTTGTGCGTGGGGGTGGGTGGGTGGTGGGTGGAGGGGCTGAGCACCAAGATTGAGCGGCATCTGCTTCAAACGCAAAAAGAGATGCATGCATTGTAGGGCCGAGGAATTATCATCGCACGCACCTACCCACCCACAGGGCACCCCCACCAGCCTGCCAGGCCTCAGGGGTCTTCTCCCGGGTGGGGCTGCCCAGGAAGGGACCAAGTCTGGCACCATGGGGGTCCAGAGCCTGCAGGCCATTTAATGAGGGAGACTGCGGGTAGGGGGGTAGGAGAGGACAGAGGCAGGGAGTGTGGGGAACCGTGGAGGGCAGGGCAGACCAGGCCCCGCCTCCCCGACGGTCACTTCAACTAGTGGAGCAGCAACCCCAAGCCCAGGGCCAGGCCGGCCGTGGCCCCCGCGGCCCGGGTGCCGGTGGTGGGCGGGGCCAGGTTACAGAGGTCCCCCTGGCAGCAGGAGGTGACCAGGCTGTAGGTGACGCCCTTGTAGTTGACGGGCTGCTCGTGGCCACAGTTGATGGAGCGCAGGCAGCCCTTGTTGGTGATGGGGCCCAGGCCGGGGGCCAGCCCGTAGCCCGTGAAGCAGTCTTCCTCTTCCGCACAGCTCATGCGCGTGCTGGGGCACTGCTTGGAGTCTGTCAGCTCACAGAAGAAGCAGTCCTTGATGCCCCTGGTGGCCGGGGACAGGGACAGCGCCAGCGCGGTCAGCAACAGCCAGCGGAGGACCATGACGGCCTGGCCGCGCTGATGATGCCCGAGCCAGGCCTGGGCCTTCCCGGGCCTTCCCTGGACAGCTGAATGGCTCTGGGTATGCCCGTGAGAACTCTGGTCCCTCGCTCGCTGGGGCTTCCTGGGACCGGTGCTGGGGCGGCGGTCCTCTCAGGAGTTCTGTTGGGGTGCGGCTCCCGGAGGGGCGTCCCCTGAGTTGAAGAAGAGCCAGCCTTTGCACCCCAAGGAGACTCTGAGACAGAATGCGGTGACCTCACAGAAGTCTTCTGGGGGTTCCCACCAGCTGCTGGGGGGAGGGGAGGAGGCCGCAGGTCACAATCAGAGGGGCGGCCTTGGCCCTCTGACCTCCCAGAGGGTGAGGGCACTGGCACCCGGCATAAGTAAGGGCACCTCCTATCCATACCCACCCCCCTGGAGACCAGCAGAGCACTGGCCTTCCCATGCCAGTGGCCCGACCACTCACGGAGGCCGTCTGTGTGTGAGAGTGGCCCCAAGCACGTGGGGGTCTCAGGGCCTGATTTTCCAGGAATAGATGGCCAGGGCTGTCTTCAGAGACACCTCAAGGTGACCTTAAACCGCCCACCTTCAGAACTGCCCCTGTGGGTTCGTCACTCTTTACGGGAGTAGAAAGCCACCTCTCTCTCTGTCTCACTCTCTCTCCACCCTCGAATCTGAAGCGCTACCAAACCAAAGCCAAGCCCGCTGCCATGGAATCTATTCCAACTCAGAGCGACCCAATAGGATAGGGTCGGACTGCCCTGGCCCTCTTCCAAGACTGTGACTCTCTAAGAGAGTAGAACACCCTCTCTCTCTCTCTCATTGCCATCAAATCAATTCTGACTCATAGCACCCCTCTAGGGCAGGATCAAACTGCCCCTTTGGGTTTCCAAAGACGGTAACACTTCTCGGGAGCAGGCAGCCTCTCCTTTCTTCTGCAGAGCGTCTGGTGGTTCCCAACCGCGGTCCTTGCAGTTGGTAGCCCGATGTGTAACCACTGCCCCACCAGGGCTCTGTCATCATGGGCACAGAGATGCACAGCACATAATTTCCTTGGGGGTGGGGGGCAGGGACACAATTTAATTCGTAACAATAGCCATTGCTGTTGAGTGGATGCCGACTCACTGGCGACCCTGTAATAGGCTGGGGTGGAACTGCCCCCATGGGGTTTCGAACGCTGGAACTCTCTAGAGAGGCAGGTGGACAGGTCTTTCTCCCTTGGGGCCGCAGGGTGGGCTCAAACTGCCGACCTTTCGATCGGCGGCGGAGCACATAACTCCTTTGCCACCTGGGCTCCCTTCTTCTCACTCTGCACCCGGACAAGCTGAGGCTCAGGCAGGGGAAGGGACGCATCCAGAGTCACCCCCCATCTCCTATGACGGCCCAGGTTTAAGAGACCTCCAGGGGAGGCCGGGCGTGAAGAGGCATGTACTGAGCACCCTACTGCGTGCACGGGCGGTTCACAAGGTCTACACATGACAGCTAACCACGGTGGACTGGTTTTGACAGAGCTTCCAGATAGGTAGACCAGGAAGAAAGACCTGGAGACAGCCTAGGGGACCCTCCAGAGCCTAGTTCTACTGTAACACATGGGGAGGTCACCGGAAGTAGAATGCCTCAATGGCAAGTTTTGGGGACTGGTTTCCTGTCTGCCTCGACTTTCAGCAACAAGGTACGACGTGACTGGTCACTCACCCCCTGCTGTCATATTGATTTGGACCCCAAGCGGTCCTCCGGGGGTTTTCTGAGGCTGTTAATCTTGACGGGAATAGACAGCCTCATCGTACCCCCGAGGAACTGGCAGGTGGGTTTGAACCACTAACCTCACGGTTCACAGTCCGATGCTTCCTGCACAGCTGCTAGCAATCTCAGCCGCTGCGATTAACAGGTAAAGGTTTCCCTGCTTGCAGGTTTTTAAGGTTTACTTGGTGTTTGGCCTGCTGTTCCCCATTCTCTCTCATTCGATGGTTTAACTCCGTAGTACAGAAGAGGAAACTGAGGCCCAGGGCAGGCCCCTTGGGGATGTGTTCCTCGGCAAGGGCTTGATAGATGGCAGTTTGTTTAGAAGATGGTGACAAGTTTGGCTGCTCATTGCAAGGCCTAAAGTTCAAACCCACCAACTACTCCCAGGGAGAAAGATGAGGCTGTCTGTTCCCATAGAAGCCCTGTTGACACAGTAGTTGTGTGTGGAGCTGCTAATCCCAAGGTCCGCAGTATGAATTAACCAGCAGCTGTGCCACAGGAGAGAGATGAGGCTTTCTACTCTCAAACATAATCACCGTCTCAGAAACCCAGAGGGGCAGTTCTACCCTGTCCTGGAGGGCCCGAGTCAGTGGTAGTGAGTTTGGGTGCTTTCTGTTTGATCTGCTTCCGTGGACATTGACAGCCTCAAAATCTTCCAGGGTCTTGGAGAGTTGGAATCAAGTTGGTGGAATCAAGTTGGTGGCAGGGAGTTTGTGTTGGTTTGATTCAGAAGGCAGTGGCGGCGGGTGTCAGAAAACATCTGTGGCTGTTGAAACTCCCTGCCATCCAATTTCAATGCTGAACTGACCCCTGTGGATTTCAGGGACTGGAGATCTTTTTGGGAACAGACAGCCTCATCTTTCCCAGGTGGAGCAGCTGCCGGGTTCGAACTGCTGAACTTCTGGTTAGCAGCCCAAAGCATCACCCACTGTACCACCGTGGCTCCTGCCTTCATGTTGGGCGCTGACATTCACCAGCACGTTCCAGGCTGATCCTTGTGGCTCTTGTGCCATCTATTAAGTCAGACAGTATTCTTTTTTGCGACGCTTCAGGTTTTCACGGGTGGCCAGGCCTTTCTACCTAGTCTGTCTCAGTCTGAAACCTGTCCACCCAGGCTGATCCTGCTGCAGCCCAGCTTCCGGACTGAGAAGCAAGGATGTTGAGAGGCTTAGCCGAATGTACCGTACTTTAGATACACTGGCCGGAGGGGCCCTACCCTGGAGAAGGACATCGTGCTTGGTA